GGGACTAAAGGGCATCACACCCTTTAGCCCGGTTCGTGTCCCAAACCGGGACTAAAGGTCTAGTCTTTAGTCCCGATTTGACATACGAACCGGGACTGGCATCACACCCTTTAGTCCTAGTTCGTGTCTCAAACCGGGACTAAATGGCTCATTTGAACCGGGATTAATGCCTTTAGCCGCACGAACCGGGACCAATGCCCCCATGGGTCCCGGTTCATGATTGAACCGGACTAATGGGCTTATCTGGCCCGAACGGAAGCCCTGTTTTCTACTAGTGTTTCAGGTCAATCCGAGAACTTTGATTTCTGCACAAAAATAGCACCATTGCAATTCTGCTGAAAACAACGTCAGTCCGGGTTAGTTCCATGCAAATCATGCAAATTAGAGTCCAAAACAAGGGCAAAAGAGTTTAGAAAAGTAGATACGATGGACACGTATCACCGGCGTCCTGGCCATTCCGTCCGGCCAGGGTAGAAGCTGCGGGGAAGGAAGGATGGGAGGGGATGAATGCAGGGTGAAAGAGGAGGGGGTGCAGCGGCGGCGGGAATCGAGTGGCGGCGACGACGATGGGTGCGCGCCAGCGTGGCGGCGCTTCCTCTGTTCCTCTGTCCACGAGAGTGAAAGGGCAATGGATTAAGTGGGTTCCCAATGGGCTAAGGAAGCTAGCCCACTTAATTTTTTTCTGTCCAATGGGAGCCCATTATAGCAATTTAAGTGGGATGGGATAGCTAGTCCCACTAGACCCCACTTCCACCTGCAGCGTGAGGTATAAATATAGATTTTTTAGGGGGTAAACCAAGTTTTATTGATCAAATGCCACAGTGAGTGAAACACATCTCGGGTCATGGGGTTGCCCTAGCCACACATGGCGCCCCTGACCTAATGAATGCGAAAACTTGGCTGGACTATGAGCTTCTTTGTTCGACTCACGACTCTCAAAAATAAAATTACAATTAAACATAGATGATCGCTGCTGAATCTCCTTAATGATGGTACCATATCTCCCTTGATTTCCCTTGAGGATATCTCATACTACTTGCTTGGAATCAGATGCAATTACAAAGCTATGCAAGAGTAGCTCTTCGGCTAAGGAAAGGGCCTACTTGCATGCTACTGCTTCTAGTGTTGCAGGTTCATGGATGCCATGAATTACAAGTGTTGAGCTTCCCAAGTAGTTCCCCTGATCATCGCGAGCGACCGCTGCCGCTGTGCCTCCTCTTGATGGCGTGGACACGCCTGCATCTACATGTACCTTGGCAAATCCCGCTGGCGGTGCCTTCTGCCTTGTCTCGCCCCTTGGTACAACACTTGGGTTAGGAGTTTGTGCCGTCTTCATCTCTCTTATGATCTCTAATTTTGATATGTATCTATCGGTGAAACCCTGTGTAGATTGTGGACTTTGAAAAATGCCCTCATGAATAGCCTTTCTCCCAGACGACCATAACGCCCATAACGTGGTAGCTACTCCGATGAACTGCGTATGTGTTAGGCCATCAATTAATGAGAATAGCCAATGCTTCGCCCGAGGCTCCGTAGTGGACACAAGGTGATGCGCTAGATTGTCATCCACTAGAGCCCATGTGCACCTGGCTACCGTACACTCTAGAAGCGAATGCCTCCACGAATCCTGGCTGCCACATAACCCGCAAGAACTAGAATTTGACATATGTCGGTGAGCTCTGACATCTTCAGTTGGGATTGAATGCTTGGACAATCGCCATAGAAACATCCTGATCTTGGCAGGCACTTGAATTTTCCAAAGCATCTTCCACGACTTCTCATTATTTGTGCTTGAAGATGCGGCGGTACCTTTTAACCATGCCTCCCTTCTTGTTTTGTGGAAAGGAGCATTTTATAAGCGGATCTTAAGAGAAAACACCGCTCCTCTCAAAGTTCCAAGCCCAAAAGTCCTCAGTGTCCCTGGTACATAAAGGTATTCCCAAGATAATTGACACATCTGTTGGCATGAACACTTGTTGCACATGGTGCCTATCCCACACAACCGATGTGGCGTCAATGAGCTCGGCCACTTAGCCGGCCTCAACAAGAGATATAGATATAGATATAGATTATTTTTTAGGGGAAGGTATAGATATAGATTTTACCGAATTATTAAATCCAGGCAGGTTATATTTAGTGGGCCGCATGTTTTTTTTGAGCGGGTAGTGGGCCGCATCTGAGTTCTCTTCCTAACCCTGTGTTCAAATGGGCCTATGGGCTCAAGTGTAGATTAGCCCGAGCCCAAATCTTAACAGATCCACCACAGGACAGATACACACATGGCATCCTCTGCCCTAACACTTTCCCCTCACCACCCACACCATCTCCCGGCGGCGGCTACCGGCCTTGTCTTTTTTTTTTTTGCATGAAAAAAAACGATGTGGAAACGATGAAGGAAGGTTATATTCCAGAAAGAATTTGACCTTCCTTCATCGTCCAGAAATTGGTCAAATGCTACGTTATAGACGATGTGGAAACGAAATTGGTCAAATGCTACGTTCTAGACGATGAAGGAAGGTCAAATTCTTTCTGGAATCGGATTGGGAGAAGCAAGAGAAAGGTGCCAATTTCGTTCTGTCTTCGGATTCGAAGAAGAAACGGATCAATTTCGATTTGTATTAGAAAAAGGAATTGTTTTTATATGTCTGCCTCTCGTGAGATAATAGTAAATCGGTCGGTTTACGGATTCTGCACCGGCTTGAAGAAGATTCGGAAACCTCCTCCGTCTCCGTCTCTTTTTTGGGTAGTATCGGAGTTCTATTGCGAGTAGGATCGGAGGAGTCTATAACAAGTTCAGGCTGGGCGTTCACGATTGTCCCGATATCGTCGTTTCAATAATTATTATCTCTGCTTATTGCATCGCCATGAAGCTTAATAGGTGTCACCGCGGCCGACATGATGTAAGTTGTTTTATGTTTTGTTGCTGTAATTTTTCATCTGATGGAAGTCAATTTATCGATCCATCACCGATGACTATTTTTTCCATCTGGCAAAATGCAGTCGAAGAGAGAAGCTAGTAATGGGGGCTCCCTAAGCGAACTGCCTGCTGAAGTACAAGCTTGTAATGGAGACATGCTAAGGGTGCTGCCTGCTGACTTAGAAGCTGGCAATAGGGACAGGCTAAGCGAGCTGCCTGCTGATTTGCTGCTCAACATTCTGGAGAGGGTGGGTACCCTCGATGCTGTAAAAACCTGCATACTTTCCAAAAAAATGCAGAAGCTGCCCACTATGCTCTCGCAGATCGTGATTGATCTTAGCACTGATGACTTGGTCCGCATTCACACCGTCGTGGCCAATGTTACAAACAAGATCCTCAATGCAAGGTCTTCGAAGATCACCATTCGTAAGCCGAAGCTCAAATTTTTTTTGAGTCCTTCTCACTGTCTCTCCATTGGCAAATGTGTTGGCCTCGCCATGGCGGACCAGAAAGTGGATTCAGCTGAGTTTGAGATCTTGACACCCAGGAATGGTCATCTTTGCACCGAAGCCTACCGCCTGTTCTTTGCTAACCAGTTCAATGATTTTTTTCGTGATTGCCCAGACGCATTTGCTGGCCTCACGGGGCTGCATCTACAATACATGAGGTTTGGTGAATCAGACATAACCAACATCCTAAGCTATTGCAAGCAGCTGGAGTCACTATCTTTGTTCATGTGTGACGAGGGGGTCTCTTCGGTGCTGCATGTAGAACACGCACGACTCGTGGAGCCTTGTTATCTCCTATTGTGAATTCAAAACAGTGGAGCTCACCTTTTTACCAAAGCTCCAGCGGATGACCTTTAATAGTTGGCCCTCCTGTGCTGAAAATCCCTTGGCTCTTGGTTTTGTCCATGAGATTTCGAAGCTAAACCTTGCCAAGGCATGTTTTTCACACAAGACACTCAAGCTAAGCCAGCTGCTTGCTAATGTCCCCTCCGTAAACGATCTGTCCCTGGAATTTCGAAGTGAAAAGGTACTCACTCCAATCATCTTCATCCCATTCTCATTGTATGCCTATTGTATGCAACAGTAGTAACTTATGCGTTACTTGAGGATTCAATTTATGAATGACTTTCTCTCATTGTAAATTTGTTTTATCTGTCCCAGATTTGGATTCAACCAGAATCCCCGAAAGTGCTTTCACCTTGGCTTGCCAAACTACGGTATGTGAATCTGGACAATCTTCCCGAGGAATGTGATATTGCCTGGACAATGTTCCTTCTTGAAGCTGCACCGTTTGTGGTGGAGTTTTGCATCACGGTATGGGATCATAAGTGCCACATGGAGTCCCAAAAAAGTTACTCCGAGAAAACTGATGTGAAGTGGGAGCCATCTGACCCTGATTTCAAGCATAAGGATCTAGCCAAGCTAAACATATATGGCTTTCAGTCCGATGATAACTTCACAGGACACATCAGGCGTGTCTTGGAGGCTGCTGTGAATATCAAGGAGGTATCTCTGCATGACAGGAAGGTGTGCAAGGTTTGCGCCGTCAAGTTTCCTCATGTTGAGGTTCGTCCTTCGAGTTATCCACGGACCAGCGATGAGAAGGATTTGTTGAGAAATAAGATGACAGAGACGTTGCCGAAGGCTTCTCCTGCTGTGATTCACTTCCTATCATAAGGTCAAGTTGTACAAATCAATAAATCATTCATGGCATTGCCATGATCCATCCTTTGTGTGGTTGGAAGGAGTCCCTGAACTCCAAAATCCAATTAGTAGCCACAGCGTCAGTATTTTCTGCTGATGAAGCTAGCTAAGCTTGTATTATTGCCTAATTGGCTGCCATGTAAGAAATGTAATATCTTTGCCACCAATTTGTTGGAACAACAACTCTTTTAACTATTTTGCTTGTTCATGTATCTTCTTTTAAGTGCTCTTTTTTTTCTGCTGTGGTCGTGCAGTAAGTTGCCTGTGTTGAATACAACCAATATTCAGTACTCCCTCCGTCCGAAAATACTTGTCGTCAAAATGGACAAGAAGGAGTGTATCTAGAACTAAAATACATCTAGATACATCCCCTTTTATTCATTTTGATGACAAGTATTTCTGGACAGAGGGAGTACGAGTAATGTTCTGTTTTTTTTTTCTGTCTTTCATACTCCCTCCGTCCGGAAATACTTGTCCTCGAAATGGTTGTATCTAAACTTATTTTAGTTATAGATACATCCATTTTATCCAATTCTACTTGTCCTCGAATTGGATAAAATGGATGTATCTATAACTAAAATAAGTTTAGATACAACCATTTCGAGGACAAGTATTTCCGGACGGAGGGAGTATATGATAGCCACAGCAAAGTTTGCTGAGAACAACAGCATTGCTGGAAAAAGAAAAATACATTTTGAGAAAAAAAATACATGCAAGATTTATCTTTCATACAGACGACTGCGGGGAGCAGATTGAGGGCCCGATGACGAGCTCCATGACCATGCCTCGAATTTGAGGACCTAGGGCACGCGAATTCCGCATGGTTGCGATACCGGAACATGAAGATCAAGCTCAACGTCACCGTCATCGTCCTCTCCATCTGCCACAACCGAAAGTGCAGCTAGTTCTGTGGGTCCTAGACATCATGTTTCGCATCGAGTGAATAATTGGACAAATTACACGTTTAACTTAGCATAGCTTTCATCTGTTTGAACGAGGAAGTTTCGATCATCAATTCCACTATAAATTCGAATTGTAAACAAAAAGAATCCACTACCAATAAATCTCATGATTATCCCAAGCCATGAATCGGTACATATAAATCAACTTGACTCAAGGAGAAACACAAGAAAACAATGTAACATCTTGAACTAAACAAGCAAATAATGTACTACTCCGGCTGTCTCATAATACTCCATTACAAAAGAGCGTTTAGTGAGTCTTGATTGATCGGCCTTCCTTTCTTAACGACGTCCACCGCGGCCGCGGCCGCCAGGGTTGTAGTCCTCCTCCTCGCCTTCCACTGCCTCCGCGTCATGCCCCTTGTGCTCTGGCACCACCGGCTCGTCCAGGAAGACAGCAGCGAGAGGATCATCGTCGGCGGCGGCGTCCACCACGACCACCCGGGCTGGCGTTGCGGCCGCCTTGGCCTTGGGACGCGGCACCGGGAGCAGCGGCGGCAGGCGGTGGCGAGGAGCGGGAGCTTTCCCCGGCACCGCGCCCTCGTTCTTCCTGATGTCCGTGAGCGCGGCGAACGCCTGGTTGACGAGCTTGAACGCGCCGGCGACGGCCGCGCTGGTGCCGCCGGCCTTGCTGGGGTCGAACATGTCGCAGAGCGCCTTGTGCTGGGACTTGACGGCGTCGTGGGACTCCTTGGTGGGCCTGCCGCCGGGCGGGGCCGCGACGCCGAGGACGCTGTAGTGGTCGGCCTTGTCGGCGGCGAGGACCCTGTAGGCGGCGCGCGCGCGCTGGGCCTCCGGGCAGGCCCCGGAGCGGTCCATGGCCACGGCCATGTCGACGTGCATCCTGGCCCTCCTGAGGTCGCCGGCCGCGAACAGCTTCTCCGCCGCATCCAGCTGCGTCTCCAGCTGCTTCTTCTTCACCGCCTCCATGCTCTGCTCGAGTTGCAAGCAATCGATCGCCGGCTCGCCGTGAGTTAGACCAGAAGCTCGAGTTCTTGCAATCGATCTATCTGCGGCGGGTGCTTGTGCTTGGTTTGATTTCCTGCGTCTGCGTCAGAATTTAAACACTCGATCGATCCTGTCCGATGCATGGCCGGTGTCGGATTCGTGTCGTGTCCGGCTCCGGCACATGTTCCGTCACGTTGGATTATAGGCAAAAAAATCAACGGGAGGTACGCAAGCTGAATACTAGTCGGACAAGATTTATAACTGATTATGTACTTGCCAAGAAAATTTGAGTGGAATTTATCAAATTCGCACAAACTTATCAAAACAGATGTTTTTTAACGGTATTATTGTTTACTCTAGGAGGGTGGAAAGCAGTGGCGATTCTACGTGTCAGCTGTGGGGTGAACTGACCCGACGGCTGTTTTTGGTACATTTTTTTTAGCTTTACTCATATTTGTGAAAAAAAGAGAGAATAGTTTAAACAGTTTAGTGCACTTGAACCCGTTTGTTGAAAGAAAAATGCATAAAATACGGGCAACAAACTTATGACTAGAGATGACAACATAGAAAAGAGAAATACGGGCAAGACCCATATTTTGCGTTTTCTGGTCAGAGCATGCATGAAATTAGTGCATATTTATTCTTTGAATGTGTGGTAGCAAAACAAATTTGGGAGCATTTTGTCTAATTCCTCCAGTTTCAACCTAGGAACGGATTATATCTCTGTTGCTAGATATTGACCTACTAATAACAATCACATTATCCTTAATTCAGTCTATGCTTGTGTTTTATGGTGCATTTGATAAACTATGAATGCCCATGTTTTTAACAATGCACCTTGGACTGACATTGAAAAAATGTGGCGACTGATTATGGTGACAATCAAGAAGTGATAGGTCATTTCAAGGGAAAAAATATGGAGAGGATTCATGTTTAGAATCTGATGAGTATTCTTCTAAATTCATGTTTTGAATTCGTAACATTTTATATGTGTTCCTAGGACGACAAATTTTTCCGGCTTTCGGAAAATACTACTTGATTATTAGTTTTTCTATAATTTCTGTATTTTTCATCGGTTCTAAATAGTTTTCCCTTTTTTCCTATGTTTATTCTCTCTTTTTCATTTCATTTTTAAGAATTTTAATTCATGACAAATTATGAAAAGGCATGAACATCTGGAAAGAGTATGATTTTTTGAATTCGTGAACTTCTTTAAAAGTCATTAATATTTTTGAAGTTCATGAGCATTTTCAAAGTCCATGAACATTTTTAAATTTGTGGACCCTTTTCAAATTCGTGAACATTGTTTGGAATCCACGAATATTTTCTAAATTCGTGTTTTATAGTTCAAAACATTTTTTTTAAATGCGTCATTTTTTCATTTAATGTACTTCTTCGATTAAAATAAATGTAGGATTAACAGAGTTTTTTTTTCAAGCAGGACGACACAATATTTGCTTGCAGCGAGGTTAATAAAATATTTTCAAAAAAGGCCGCCGTACGTTCGGTGGGGATCGAACCCACAAAACGAGCTATACTCTCGCGACCACTAGTAGTAAAACCCAACGTAGAATCGCTATTTGGTGCTAGTACATTGTTCCTTATACATATTGGAGTATTTAACAAAAAAACTACCACTTTCCAACCAGCCCTACCAAGAAACCACTACTCTACAAAAATTAGCAAAAACATACCAAAATTTCTTACTCATGTGCCAATTAGGCACGTTTAAACCATGTGACACCTTAAGTCAACACCGTCTTCTTGACCAGCAAGTTAGGCATTATGACTTGTGGGACCTACATGTCAGTCTCAACAAAAGACCCTAGTCACCTCCTACCTCCGGCCCGTCCACCTAGTCATCCTTGGCCATGGGAGGCAGCCAGCGCCGCTGGCCGAAGGCGAGGTCAAAGGCGCCGGCGCCACATAGCCCATCTTGTGGCAACCCGGAGGCTAGCTCGACGCAACGCTCGCGGCCGCTAGCTAGCCAAGCTAGCACACACTCTGCTGGATGCATCCAGCTGCTTGTGTGCAAGGTTTGCTAGCTAGGTTGGCATGGCGGTGCGACGGCTTGTTCGTGTGTGGTGCGCTAAGGCCAGCCATACGGCTCGAGCGAAGGCCAGCATGGCGGCTTGCTCGCGCGTGAGCCTCTCTCGGGCCATCCAACCAACCCATACGGAGGCTAGCATGGCGGTCGGCCCTTCCGGCGGAACGGCGGCCTGCTCGCCCATCATTGGCGTACGAACTGTTTGAATTAATGTTCATGAAAATTAAATGATTGGAGAAGGAAGAAGAGGATAGATGCTCACATGTGGGTCCCACCTATGGTAACGGTCAATACAACGGTGATACAGATGGTGTTGACTTAAGGTGCCTTGTCAGCACAGATGTGTGGGCCAATCCTGTCATAAACGGGTTTAAACGAGCCTAATCGGTACTTGGTTGTAGTTTTTTGGCGCGGGTTAAGAAATTTTGGGTATGGTTTTGCTACTTTCTGTACAGTAGTTTCTTGCTAGGACTGGTTGAAAGTGGTAGTTTTATGTTAAATACTCTACATATTGTAAGTAAGAGTGAAAATTAACCTTTGGAAGCCAATAAGTATGGCTAGTTACATAGTAACTATCTGTACGTAATTCAACATAAATATGACCATGAGTGACTAATATCTTGATGGAAAACTCGAAACAGTAGTATTGATACTTGTTTCCATAAACTTAAGTCTACATTCTATTCAACGGCTGAGCATGTGGGGCCTTAGCACGATGACTTCCCGACTGTGTAAACATGGTTTTCGCGTCTTTGATAAGGCGGGGGTTGACGACGATGCTCCTTCAGCTCGCTCTAGTGTTTGTACTCATACTAGGTGGTCTACCAATGTGTAGATGTATTCTTTTTCATGTCTCGTGTTCGTTGTACTGCCACTACTGTTGATGAATAGATGGTAAGTTTGTCACAAGAAAACCTTGGTTGACCATGTGTGTGCGAGAAAGAGAGAGATAATGCGTGTGTGTGATATGGAGAGACTGAGGCACAGATAAGATATTGTGTGTGTGTGTGTGTGAA